TCAAGGGACTTTGTCAAACTTGTCCAATAAGCTTTTTAATGAAAGTTATTCTTCTCTGAAAGAAGAAAGGTTACCTTAGATCCAACAGTTATGCTGAAGGTACTCTAAAAGCCTGGTTCAACATGCCTTTTGAAATGATTGATAAATATGAAAGATTAATATGATTATTTTCACTCTATGAAAGTTGTTGTTATTTAAGTGTCTTACTGGATATAGAGTTAATACTCTTGTTCGGAAGGAATTACAGACCCGGAAGAGTAAGAGTGTTACATTTTGTTACTAGACGGACATGAGAATATAAGATAGATAAATAAAGTGTTGACTTCATACTCTATCATGTGGTATAAGGAGCATGGGACATTTGAAATTATGATACAATATTAGTAACTTTGTACTCTCTCTGTACAAGGTTTACCAACAACATTGTAATGTCGTTTAAAAACTACAATACTGCGATTTATGGGCATAAAAGATGTTACAAATAGTAACAATGAATAAATTATAATATGAAGGAGTTGATAACATGAAATTCTCATCTTGTGTATCCGACTCTTCCTTGTTGAGTTATCATTCGCTTAGAACAAAATTCGTAAGCACACGAATGACTGTGCTAACCAAATAACGCCAAATCATGAAATGCAAACGAAAGCCGTTGAAGATTCCTTGACTTACTTAAATTTCGAGGATAAAATTTTCTTAAGAGGGAGAGAGTTGTAACGCCTAGAAAATCGGTCTAAAAGTATTAAATAATAAAATACCTAAATTTGAATTGTGAGCGCAAAGGGCCTGAAAAATAAAAATATTTGGAAAAATATTTTGATAACATCGTTAGATTCTACTTATTTTTCCTAGTTCAAAACCGCAACCGTTTTCGATATCAGATTCTGTTTGGTAAATAACCAGAAATTCAAATAGATAAACTATTTCCTTCTGAAGAAGGATTTTACTCATAAGTATTTCAAACAGAAATGCCTTCAAGTTTGGTCTTTCATCTTCCTCAAACTTTCCTCAACCATTAATAAAGTTTTGGGAAGAAAACTATAGGTTAGGGAGTATAGTTCATCCCTATCAATATTATACTCATTTTAGTGACCTCTTCATTCTCATTACCTCTGTGATATCGAGGTTTGGAGAGAAGAACTCAAGACAAGGAAAGCTCGATGTAGATAGTGACGTTCGTTCGTTGACCGTACGTTGAGGTGTTAGGATCATTGTTGTTTTCTTCTTCAATACCAAGGTATGTACCCAGACTTATGTCCAACTTAGATTTTGTAGAACCATTCATATGCATAAATTTAGCCTCATGATTAATATCATTATCATCGTAATTCTGGAAAATAGTTTACGAAGACCTTTACACGAACCTAATGTTAAAACTACGATATTTTTATGTTATATCACCTTAATATTATCTAATGTTCATAAAATGGAGAAAATTATATTTTAAATAAGTAAAAATGGACTTTGGGACTTGCAAACCAAAGACGTAGCAGACCACAAACACGGTCCGCCTAGTGGAACGGTCAACCCAATGCACCGCATGAGGGAAGAAACTAAAACTACAACTTCGACAATCGACCGTCGGTAAGAACAGTCCACCGATGTCGACGGCCGACATTGTTCATGCCGAAGGGTTTTCTCTGCTACTATATAACAGTCCTTCATTGGCCCCTACAGTCCAAGGCTTCAACCGTTGTTACTGTTCACACCGAAACCCAACTTTAAACTTGAGACGTAACACTCGACCATACTCCTCCACGATCCGCATCACGATACCTTTAAACTGCTGAAGGACGCTTGAACGTGACCCCGAAATGATCAACCTTACCTCGCCGAGTAGCTCCAAATCTTGGACAATAGCCTTGTATTATGTAATTAATTTTAATATGTTGATGAATGATTAAGGATGGTATTATGTTAAAGACTTTATGGTAACACTTTATATGCTTCAATCATTGAATGTGATAAACATGACTGTGGTACTAATGATCAAAAAGATATTTTTGGATGGTCAAACTAGATTATTTCTAGTAACAGATATATGGATATGACTGCATAGATGTGGGCGACATTAAGAGTTGAGTATGAACGTACATTAGGTCCAGACTGGTCAGAAGACTAGGGATCACTCAATCCGTGCATCCGGAACCAAAAGAGTATTTATACCCAAACTGGGAAAGGCCACAGAACAAATTCTGAACCTGAAGAGTATGGCGCTTGGACCCAAACTCAGACAGAAGAAGTCTATCTCTATGAAGAAAGACTCAGTATGGCGTAAGGATAAAATATAAATGGTTGAAAATAAGGGATTCGGTGTTACTATTATCGTATGGTGATCAATTAAATAAAGGGTGTGGAATTTATTGTTTGAAATGAATCGTTTCCTCTTAGAAATACTACTTGATGAAACGAAGAAACGATAATGACTTATCAAATCTGTAAACAAAAGTATTTCCCACCATGATAAACTCCACTCATGAATAATTACTTTTGAATAAGTATGATTATATGAAGATATGTCCTTACACCTTTCATAAATGAGAAATGTTGGAATTTATTATTAAAGGTTTTATAAAGGAGACAAAACAGATTTTTTCCTTAAATAAAAGGGCTCAATGATATTAATGACCATTATGTATGTGATTACGTGTTCTTGAATTATTCTTTGAAATCTACGTTGTGGTACTACTCAGTAGTTTCACGAAGGGTGCAGTTTCCTTTGTGGTGTGATTGTGCGTAGGTAATAAAGTTATGGCGTCTACCCGGAAGATGCTGAGGCGGGAGACTTGCAGAAAGATGAGGGAACTATTTTTAATATTTTTAAATACTTTGGGGCTTTAACCCATACATTTAAATATGTTGAATCTTATTTAGGTTCTGCAACATTTAAATCAAATTACTCCAAAAACTATTTTTATCATGTTGAGAAAATCACGTTTTTAATATATTTAAATTGTTACCCAATTTACCTTTTTTTTAATTATGAAATGTTGCTTTACCAAATTTCTAGCGCTTCGGTCTGCTAAACCGCGTGAACCAAATTATGCGAATCGAGGTGTTACAAGATTATTCGTATTGTTTTTAGCCTTGCTCTTCTTATGATTGGCTGCTTCGTCAATTGGATGTATCTAATGCTCTCTTGCATAGTGACCTTGAACAAGAAATGTATATGGCTCAACCTCCTGGATATGTTGATCCCGAGTTTCGTAAGCATGTTTGTAAACTTCTCAAGTATCTTTATGGTCTGAAACAAGCTCTCTGGGCTTGGTATGAATTTCTCTCTGCCTTTTAATTTGCATATGGGTTCCGCAACAACAAGCATGACACTAGCATGTTTATCTATCATTGGCTTGCGGGTATGATGATTTTGATTGTTTATGTTGATGATATTATTGTTACTGGTAGCTCCTTTGTGCTTGTTTAGGAGTTTATCACTAGGATTTGTAGTGAGTTTCAGACATAAGATTTCGGACTGCTTGATTATTTTCTTGGTTTGGAAGTGTCTCATACGTCCTCTTCTCTTGTTGTTTTCCAAAAGAAGTATGCTATAGAGCTTATTCATCATGTTGGCCTCGAGGATTGTAAGCTCGTTTCATCACCCTTACTGGTCCGTCGTGGTACAACCGTGGGTAGGGGGATGATCTCTTTCCTGATCCCACTTTCTTTCAAAATCTAGTTGGAGGACTTCATTACCTTACTACTACACGGCCGGATATTCAATTTGATGTCAACTATGTGTGTCAGTGTATGCATAATCCTACAGAGGATGATTTATAGAGCTTAAAACGGATTCCAAAGGCTGTTAAAGGAACCCTTGCTAGAGGACTTGTGTTTCATTCGGGTAACCTGCAGCTACGGACTTATTTTAATTGTGACTGGGCAAATGACATGACTGATGGACGTTCCATCACGGGCTATCTTGTTTATTTTGGGCCAAATCTAATCTCATGGAGAACGGAAAAACAAACTCGTGTGGCTAAGTCTTCTACAGATGCTTAGTATTGAGCTCTCTCGTATGCCACCTCTGAGGTTATGTACCTTACCTATGTTCTCCATGATCTACGTGTACCAGTCTCACCTCTATAGCTTTTTTGTATGATAATCAGTCTACTATTTATCTCACAAAGAATCCAGTCTTTCATAAGCGTATGAAGTACTATGACTGTTTCTCTTGTTTTCCCTGATGATCAACTTGCTAATATACTGACCAAGCCGTTAGCAAAGTTGTGGTTTTAGGCTCTTGTTTCCAAGCTTTCGTTCGTGACTCGAGGTTCGCCTTGAGGAGGGATGTTAGACAATTATTTACAGTCAACATTAATTATAGTATACTTTGTGTTTTAGTCAACTTCTGTTATTGTTTCCCTAGTCCTAGTTGGGCTCGTATACCCATCCCGAAATACTCTCCCTTGTATTCTCTTGTGATTAATTAAGTTCAATACAATTATTCTGTTTTGTTTTCTCAATAGCTTACATCTTTACTTTATGGTTGCTTATGGTTTTCTATGAGTTGTTAGTTGTGTATTTCATGAGTTTCTTGATGATTTGCTTGTGGTGAATTGGGTGAAGTATTTTAGTTGGTTGTCTTGTAGTTGATCTTTTTGGGTAGTTATATATACGAAGTGGCCCTATCACATCTTCTCGTGCAACCCGAAAGAATTAATTTTTTTAATGGAGGTCATTAAAGGTGAGATCTCTTTTGCCAGTGCCGAATTGCAGATTAATGGCTTATCCAACCATGACAAAACCTTCCCATGGCTCGGCTTTTCCCTCCCTCTCACATGCCATCACTTTATTTGGTTGTTGCAGTGCATTAGAGATTGAGAGGTATTATTTTGGCATTTGAGAATGTTTTTGGCATTGGCAAACACAATTCGCCATTATTTTTGTCATTTAAGCTAGGTGTATCTTTGACATTATTTTAGCAAAAACTTCAAAGCAGATTTCCAATAAGGAATACATTTTGGTAGTAATATATCATATCTCATATGCATGATACACAACAATAACAAGACAAATAGATATGAGTATTGTAACGGGTGAAAATATATCATCATAGTCATACAATGAATTTGATTATTGTGTACCCAATGACATTTCCTAGCACAAATCCATAATCGCACAATGTAGCAAAATTATTCTCCATTTTATTTATAAATAAGAGGTTTGAATCATGCATGAAGGCATCAGGAAACAACCTCAATTGGGATTGCAGCTTAGTACCCTCTCGCTCGCATTTTTTGCCTGCAAGAAAGTGGATTAGTTATTGTACATGTGTTGGGAGCAAACATTAGTCCCACACCGAAAGCATTGGAGAAGAAAAACCAATATAAACAGATTCAACTAATCAAACACATTAGCATGAGGTCTTTTGAATGGTTCTCGAAAACAAATCTGTGAAATTATGGGTTATTACTCGGTATATAATTTCTAGATTTGTCTTCTCTATGCATATTGTGCTCTCTAGACCTAACAATACTTGAGTTTCATTATTCTACTCCGAACAATTTTGAAGGTTAAACGTGTCAAACGGATTTCAAGAATAACAAATATGAACACGGAAATACGATAACGGATTTAACGTGGTTCACCAACGTTGTGTTGGCTACATCCACAAGAAGAGGGGGAGCAGTTTTATTACGGAGAGGCAAGAACAGAATACAGAATAGGGTTTGTGATAGCACCTATATATATAGTGCTAAGCTAAACCCTAACAGGCTTGGGCCCAAACTACAGAATTGACAGATGATTAATAGCCCAATACATCAACATTGTATACCGTCGGGCCGGGGGCGCCTCCGCCCCCTGGACCCCCCGACTCGCTAACCGGGCAGCGAGACTCCTATACTCCCTGTTGTAACGGGTCAGATTCAAGGTATTACAACAAAACGAGAACACCCGAACAAAATCATGATTTCTAACCAATCAAAAATGCCAATTAACTAGGTTTGAGACTGTTTACCAGTCATTTTAAACATACTTCCAAATACGTATTTGACTACTTTTCCGTATTTGAAACTCTCATGGCGAAGGTAAAGGAACAAAATAAAAGTAAACAATAGCAAAGAGAACAAAATAGGACATTCATATTTTTATCCATAAAATAGAACCTATAAAGGCTATAATGCGAATATATAATATCCAAAAAAATACTATAGAATGTTAATATACAATGTCAAATTGGATACATTGTCAGACAACAATAGTCTTATTTCGAGATAAATAGGTTCTAGGCGAAAGTAAGAAAATTTGAAGTTAGTTGTCGCCTATGTTACTAGGGTAAAGATCTTGTAATTAAAAGTCGTTAAGAGTTTGAACACAAATCAAATTGTGAAGTGTCATGTTTTCTATTTAAATTAAGAGACCTCAAGTTCTTTTCTTTTTTATAAGTACCATTGTTCAATAATATTCAGTTCGATTTCCATGTTTCCTTGTTCACTTTACAATTTGACAATTTTTTGCTCGCCTATAGCCCAAAAGAAATGACCTTTCATTCACCACCCTAGTGTACCTCCACTGTACACCTCAATTTATTGACAATAATTTTTCTTCGAAGACATTGATGGCTTCAATTAAAGGTGTCAGATGTCCCACAAATGGTCAAGAAAATAAATAAATACTCCCTCCGTCCTATAATGATCTTCGCGGTTCGCAAAAGGAAAAAAAATCCCAAGTTTTTTCAATCTATTTTATTTAAATATTGGTATAGAAATAAAAAATAAAACATACATATTTAAAAACTACACCAAAAGTTCAACAAAACACATGGTGACAAGAATATTTTATTTTATCATATAGGCCATGAAAAAACAGAAATAAATATAAATTCCCGTGAAATTGGAATAGTGCTCTGGGAAGATCATTATAGGACGGAGGGAGTAAATGTCCGTGGGGTCAAAATAAGGATACTGTTCGTATCATTGTGTGAAAGTGGGCTACTTAAATAAGGGAAGGTTCAAGTAACATTGAACTTTGATGTCATGGGAAGTCAAATTCAACTTGTAGGGTGCAATCGAAGGGGGTGGGGGTATGTTCGGGTCGAGCCGGGTGGGGGGTTTACCGGGGGGTTAGAGGGGTAGAAACCGTCAATTTTACGAACGGGGCACTGGAGCGCCCCCGAGTCATCCCATGACATCAAGGTTCAATGTCACTTGAACCTTGGTGTAATAATAAAGTGCAAGCAATGAAATACATTTATGCTAGGGCAAGTTTCCCATGACATTGTCATGGGATGACCCGGGGGCGCTCCGGTGCCCCGTTCATAAAATTGACGGTTCCTACCTGTTCTAACCCTCCCCCGGTAAAATTTGACTCCAAAGTCAAAATCAACTTGTGGGGTGCAATTGAAGGGGGTGAGGGGTGTGTTTGGGTCGGGGCGTGGTGAGAGAGTTTACCAGGGGGCTAGAAGGGGTAGGAACCGTCAATTTTATGAATGGGGTACCGGAGCGCCACCGGGTCATCTCATGACATTGGTTCCCAATGTCATGGAAACCTTGGTATGTTACATTTACATAAGACGAAATGAAAATTAAAGTTTTTTTAAATTCACTTTGTCAAAAATTTGTAGAAAACAAAAGGTAACATGAATATTTCGTTTTTTCAAATAATCAATTAAAACTAAAAAATAAATAGTCAAGAATGTAGTTATTTTGAGACAGATGGAGTATTTACTTTCTACGTCACAAAATTGTATGTTTTCAATGATAATTTTATAAAATAAAATTTTTTTGTCATTTTTTATTTTGTAGAATTTCTCATATATATTCTTTTGAACGGTATAATTTATGATCTTAAAATCTTATTTCCATATGATTTTCGGATTGTGAAATCTATTATGAGATGGAGGGGAGTATTTTAATTTATTGGGAGAAATTTTGCTTTTTTTTTTTTGGGAAAGGGACTCTAAAAAGATGGGACCCGACTTCATTTTCCTGGGGTAAGATTCCTTTGTTGATATCGTGTCGGCATAGCAAAAAAGGTCAACCCAATTAAGCTATAAAAATAAAGCAATAATTGGCAAGCGAACTTTACTTGTTGTTCCCAGTTTGTTCTGATCAGGATGCCAGTAAGAGAAGCCACTTGCACTAGCAATGCACTTATCATCCCAAACCACAGGCCCTGTGTTAATTTTGCACATTAATAAAATAAATAGAATAAAAACTACATCATATTTCCATTATTATTTAAAACAAGACAAAAAAAAACTGAAATTCAGGAAGCATTGGTGGTGGCATTAACCACGTACCCTTCCTTCAAGGTGAAAAACAAAGGCCATCAAAACAGCTAAAGGAATGCCCACAATATAATATGATCCCAGATTGACAATTGCCCCAATCTTTTGCAGTCCACACCCTCTCATAGCCCCTGAATTACATGTTACCAATTATATTATTCAACCACAAAGTTCCCCCACATATATACTGAAATAGATTTATGTATTAATTTATCTCCAGGAATATTGGAAACAAAACAAAGAGAAACCAACCTGAGAGCACAGTCATGAATCCATCGACGAAATTTGACACAGCGACGATCCGCATCATGGAAGAAACATAGACAACCACTTCGGGGGTGCTGCTGTAAGCGTATCCCAAGGCTTTGCGAGCCAGCACCAGAAAAGAACCAGTCACAATTGAGAACGTAGCGGCAGATACTATGGCAACACCCACAGCTAGCTGTGCTGTCCTTGGATGTCCCGCTCCCAGTTCATTTCCCACGCGAGTGCTGCATTGCATCACATTCTTTAATTTTCAGCACTTCTTAAACCAACCTTCAGGAAAATATAATGCTGGTTTAATGGTTTTCAGCATGAACTAACCTTGTAGCAGCTCCAAGCCCAAAGGAGATTGTCCAAACTGTTGCTGATGTGTTGAGGCTGCATTGTGAAACAAGAAAAGGAAAAAACACACTCACGTCGTAATAAGAACTTGTGTTCAAGGAAGGAAATGTAAGTCGTAAGATTGATTCATTGTACAATAATGTTCGAACCAGATTGAGAGTACTGAAGTCTGTAATTCTGGATTTGGGAGAAGTCCAGAGAGCAGGACCATCATTTCAAATGACCACATCTCCAAGCTATCAATAAACATCATTCATTAAATGAGCAATCCTTATATGCAAATGGGCATTCTTTAATTTAGATAGGAGAAAAATGATTAGAATTAAAAAACACAAAATTAATAATCATGAAAGCTACAAATTAGAAGTGGCATTGAGTGTGTGCACATCTGGATTGAGGTAAGATATAGTAATTCAAATTTGATCAGACAGCCAGATAGTAAGGGGAAACAAAACAAAAAAAAAACATACCAGACCATGATAGCAGATGGAACTGCAAGCTTAAGGAAAACCGGGATGTTTTTTAGCGCTTCCTTTGAAAACCCAGTCCATGTTTTCATACATGAAGGGGAAAACATGACGTAGAGGGCTAACAACAGAACATTCAACCAATTGGAGATAGCATTAGCTAAGGCAGCCCCTCGGCTTCCAAGGCCAGACTTGAAAACAAGAAGCCAACAAGTCAGAGTGTGGATCACTGTGACTATCCCGGAAGTTAGCACCATGGGGATTACGATGTTTTGTGTCTGCAAGAATCTCACGAGACATTGGAGAAGGCCATAAGCAAAAAGGGCAGGAGTCATTAATTGTGCGTAATGACCGGCTGCGTCTGCAATGTCTGGCTCCTGGCCTAATGCTTTCAAAATTGAGGCTGTGCTAAACCAGATGACTGAGAGAGGAATGCATACAAGTAGAAGCACAAGAATTGCTCTCTGCATGTGTATGCCCAGCATATGGTACTGCTTTGCTCCATAGGACTGACCACACAAGGTGTCTAGTGCACTAGACATGCCCATCTACTCATTCAATCATACATATATCACGCCAATCAACACGAGATTATGGAACAAAATATTGAATTTAAGACCATGTTCTCCTCTATTCTTAATGGAATCAGGTCAGATCAGACCAAACCAGATCGGAAATAGCTTAAAATATAACTACAGTCAGATTTAGATCACACCAGGTGTGAAGAGAACATGGCCTAAAGATGAAGGTCCCTGAAATAATGGAGGAACTGATGGAGAAGAGACTGACCAATAAGCTGAAACCAGTAACAGTGCCAAAAGAGGTGGCCATGGAAGCACCAGAAAGATCTAATTCTCCGAGATGGCCAACAAACATCAAAGATATTAGCTGCAGGGAATACTGCAACAGGCTTACACAGATCAGTGGCCCGGCTAGCCATGCTTGCCTTTTCACTTCATCAGCAATCTGGCCACTGCTAGAACAGTCTTTTTTATCAATAAGTGGCTCGTTAATGGAGGATGAATTCCCATGGGGATCTTCCATCTTCCTTCTTTCTCCTTCCTTTCCTGCAAAGTGGGATAACAAGTGTGCGGGCTATGGCCGACCCTCATTTTAACTCAAAAACCTGCTTTTATAATGGCATGATGCTTTGGAAAACTAACATTCAACTGTTGCCGTTCTGGGATGGATCAAGAAGAAATGTGACTTTTAGATCTTTATAGATACTTTAGTACTCTATCTAACACCCCGAAATAAAGAAAAATCCCTAAATACGATCGTATTCTCAAAATGAAAGTTCAAACTTAAACTTTTTTAAATAGGAGTAATTAATTAAATTTTGTTTTCATTTACTCTCCTGCACAAACCACACCCGGCCCTTTCCCAATCCCATCCTTCTACAATCTCCATCTTCGTTCTAATCTCAGTTGCTAACGCGGTCAACCTAATCTCAATCCCCTCTCCGCTGCTACCATCTTCTCTATGCGGCAATGATTTCACCGCACTCTCCATCATCTCCCTTTCTCCCATACACACCCCTCTCCACAATTTTCATTTTTCATCACTCGGATGCCTTTGTCCCCTTGGGTAAGTTAAATTCAATTTGATATTTAATTTGACATAAGTAGTTAAATTCAATTTTAAATCTAAAAATTTACTTCTTCGGGAATTATTTTGTAAAATTGGTACGAATTCTTTTAGCCTTGCGTAAGTTTGAAACTTTAGATTCAATTTCAATAGGTTGTGACATTTGATTTTAAATCCGGGTTTACTTTTTCGAAAATTATTTTGTAAAACATATATTGAAACTAAATGATTATTGTGTTGGCAAATAGAGTTTCTTGAAGTTTAACTTTTTTTAGATTATGCATTAACATATGTGTTATATGTAACATTATACTTTGACATATCTATCATTATACATTGCCAAGTGTGACACTATATATTATCATATTTGACATTATCTCTTGATTTAACATTATGCATTTGCATGTATGACTTTATACAATGGCATGATTGTCATTATGCGGTTACGTGTGGCGTTAAATGTGGTCTTGTTTGACACTGTATATACATTTCACTGTAGCAATTTACTGAGTTTCTATTTATTGCTTAAGAATTTTGACATATATCTACAAGGTGATGTTTGACACTCTATGAACCTAAGTCAACACTTAAAGGTGATGTTTGTCAAGTTTCTTTTCTCTTCCTAAGAATGTGAAATCAGAATATTTGAGTTGTAAATTAGGGTACACATATAAATATACAGGTTCAAGGTAGAAAAAGTCATATTTGTTTGTGGTACTGAGCTTTGGGTGTGATTTTGTTATCGTTCCCTAACGATATAGTTAAAAGAATCGTTTATTGACAATATTTTAACTGTGGGTAAAAAATTTAGCCGTCTTAGTAGTTAGTTGTTATTTTGATAAAAAATAAAAATAATGTCTTATTTTATTTTCCGACTTGAAAATATAAACTATTTGTAAAGTCAACCTTTTAATTTAAAAAATAGGTAATTGGATTGATCTCGTAAATAGGTGACTAACAACATATAGTTTGTTAAGTTTAGACTTTGGTGTAAAAAGTTATGAACGAAATAAATATTACAGTTCAATAAATAAATATTAAGATTTTATAATATAATAATAATAAATAATTAATTTCCTAATCTATTCTAATTCCTACCCATAAGGCCATAACTCAATGCCAAGGCCCAGCCTCCCCTTAACGCATGCAAGAAAAGAAAAAAAACCAAAAAGGGAGAAGAGAGCGTGAGAAGAGAGATATTACTAATTGAGAATAAAAATTAATTAATTACTCCCATTTAGAGGAGTTTAAGTTTGAGCTCTTATTTTGAGAATATGACATAACTTTTACTCCTACTTTGGTCCTTCTCCCCCCCCGAAATATGACCTAAAATTTATCATAAAACAAAGGTGATTTGAATAATATTTTGGTCCAACAAAAACTATTTATAACTTTGACAAAAAAATGAAGAGATTTTTAAGATAACGACTTTTTGTTAAAAACATATTTCATGGATAAATCACGAAAAGACGAATCCAATGACATATTTTATGAACCAATCTGATTTACAGATTTCGAGTTATGACAATTTTAAAGTTTTAAAATTTATAACTTTGACACAAATTAAAAACTGATTTCATAAGATTAGAACTCATATTCTTTGACACTTGACAACATCATGTACAAAAACCGATTAGACCCGATATTGATCAACTTCAAACAACAAATAGAGGGAGAGATTGGGAAAATATCAAATAAACGATCGCGACAAAAAAACTCTCAAACAAGGAGTGACGAGCCAGAAATTTGCCTTACACTTCCCAAAGCTTCTCTATCTGATCAAGAGACTGTTGCCCTGATGCTAGCTCACTCTTGCCTCCATCCATCCCAGTCTGTGACAGTGGCTGCCAGCGGCGCTGCAAAAGGATAGTGGCGAATCAGGGAAAAAAAACAAAAAGTGAATTTTTACATAACACTTGAAGCTAAGAGCATGTGCAATGGCAAGGAAGAGAGATGCCTTGCACTGCCACATCAGCTTCTTCCACTCACATCATGGCATGACAAGGCCAAATTGCCTTGAAAAAAAATGTATAAGAAAGTAGAATAATTTTTTAATAAAATAAATAATAAAAATATTTTTTTTGTTAAAAAAACATAAAAAAAATGTAAAAAAGTGATAAAAAATAATGACTTGCCATTGTAGGACTTGCCACTCCATTTACATGCCACACGCTGACTGGACTATTTTTGTTTGGTTAAAATGTTCCATGTCACCGTGTGACATTCCATTTTCGTCTTGCCATTGTTGATGCTCTAAGGAAGTTAGACTCCATTCTCTTCTCTTAATCTCATTAGGAGTTTTAAATATTTTAATGTCTAATTGGATCTGATATGGTCTATAATTTGAAAATGTTATTGATCTGATATAGTTGTAATAAAAATAATTACTATCTCCGTCTTAAAATTAATTTTTTATTTGAGTTTTCACAATCTTTAATGTAATACATTTACCTTTAACATCTCTATTATATATAAAAATATAATATAAAAATTAAATATTTCAAAATTATATTCCAAAATGAATCTATTGATATGAAAATCATATAAAAATTCAATATATTTTTTTCGTAATACTCCATCCGTTCTAAAACGTTTTTCCCAGTTACTATTCACACGGTTAAACTTTAATCAATTTCTTTTCTTATCTTCGTTAATTATTTGATAAAATAATATAGTCTTATCACCTCTCGTTTTGTAGAACTTCTGATGTAGTTTTTAAATTCATAAATTTTATTTTTTACTTTTTACACCTACAATTAAATAAATTGAATTAAAAATAAAATTAGTCAAATCTCGTAAATAGAAGGAAGAAAGACCAAAGTAGGAACAAAACATTGAAAATATACCAAAATAGGACTTCCATGTTTCTATTCCCGAAATAGGACTACATTACCAAACATGGTCATATACATTAACAAAAAAGTATAGTAATTTGCACATGTACACTGCCACATTACCACAATGCAAAGTCACATTACCACAGTGCAAAGTCCTATTCCGGGAAAAAAAACATGAAAGTCTTATTTTGGTACTTTTCACTATGTTTTAGTTCTATTTAGGATGATTTCTATAAATAGAAAAGGGAAGAATATATTAGGGCTGAGGGAGTATACGATAAAAGTTAAAAATTATTTGACCACAAAAGTCAAATTATAAGTTGGAGTAAATAAAAAATAAATTGAAATGCATTAAAATGGGTAAAACTAAGAGTAAATTACTCAAATAGGAGGTAAAGGCAGGCGTTTTCCGTGAATAGGAGTCCTCCTGTGCATCTTAGTTTTCGGCCAAGGGAATAGTCAAAAATACCCTTCCACGAGTCTTTAATTATTTTAATAAAAGAAAGGCGGTTTACGGGGGATCGCGAGAAAGGAGGCGCTGTTTTGGTTTCTGATTGGCCGCTCGAGTTACCATGTAGAACTAGGCTCCTACTGCATGCTGGTCAAGAGTCTTTAGCATAGTACATGTAATTTAATTTTCGTTTGAGGTTGGGTTCAGTATTATCTCCGTGCATCTGTTCGAGACAACGAAGACGACTAGAAGCGCATGTGCGAGGAGGATGTCTAGCAGAGCGGCTGGTGATGATGATGATGATTTTGTGGACGAAATTCCAATTATAAAGACTACAAAGCTAATGAAGACAACAGCTGGGCGGGTGTGTATTTTCTAAATCATTTCCATTTGGTGTCGGTTTAATTTGTTGAAATAGGGCTAATTTTGGGGAAGGGTTAATGCATGCTAGATGTTTGAGTTAATGACTTTGGATGATTTCTTCTTAAAATTGTGGAATTGGTTGATGCATGTAATGACTTTGAATAATGACTGTTACTGTCCGGGTAAATGTCTGAATAATGACTGTGAGTGTTGAGTGTATTTTTTTGGGGATTAGGTTGGTGCGTGTCAGTTGTTTTGGCAATTACATCGAGTGATGAGTAATTAATGTCTGATTAATTGTCTTGGTATTAGAATGATTAATGACTTTGTGTGTTTGGTGATTAGAATTTGGGAATTGGTTGTTGCATGTGAGGAGGTATTATGTATTTTCCTTGAATAATGACTGATTAATGGTGGATTAGTCTCTGATTAAATGACTACTGTGACTGTTTGCTGATTCAATTTTGGGTATAGTTTGATGCATGTGAGGTGTTTGATGTAATGTCCTTGACTGTGTGGTGTGTGTAGGGTTGGTAATTCATTAGTTGAGAGCCTAATATTACATTTTAGATTTGGGTGCTTTTATTAGATAGCAAATTGTCAGTAGGTTGGGTAATGTCTGGGTTAAGTGATTGTGGGTAGGCGATCTGATGGTGAAAAGACTTTAGTTTTTTTTTTAAATTTTTCATACATATGTTCTGTGATGGAAGTTTTTTTTTATGATTATGTGTGTGGGTACTATGGTCTTTGTTCAAAAGTCATTATTCATAGTAATGACTTGATGTAGCGGACATTAATCTGGTATTAATTAGAGGGTGAATTGTGTGGTTTTTTGTGACTTTATATGCTTTTGTTTTGTGGGTTAATGACCGAACAAGCGAGGTGTTTTAAGGGTGTGTAATTTATTAGTTGACAACCTAACATAACGTTTCAGTATTGGGTCTTTATAGTATAACGCATATTATAATGACCTTGGCTCTGCGAGGGATGTTTTTTTGTTTTGTTTGTGGTACAGTTGTTTTTTGTGAGGTGTTTTATATTGTGAGGTATTTCTGACTTTATGTTTTGTTATTACGACACAGGTTTACAAAAGGATGTGTGATGAAGAACTATTGGTTGGGAAGACTGGGGTGAAGGTTACATGTTTTTGCAATGTATGGGTTGGGGCAAAAATTGTGGAGGGCGTTGTCAGTGATGCAGATTTGGTAGAATTGAAGGAATATGCGTTTGGGGACTTTTTCAACCTAGGTGGCATTAAGTGGTTTACTGGGCAGTTGATGATACTATTGGCACTCAATTATGTGGAACCGTTAAAGCGGAGCGGATGTGTTGACAGCTTAAAGTTTCACATTGGTGACAAAGTTGTTGAGTTTAAGAAAACGGACTTTGCGTTGATAACCGGGCTGAAATTTGGGAAGGAAACCAAGTTTGAGGGTATTGACATGGATGAGCCGAATGACATTAGTTTGAGGTATTTTGGAGGGAAAATGACCGTAACACGTTTGGATGTGGAGCATGTGTTCAGGAATATACGTGCGATTGGATGTAGGAAACCTATGGATGTAGTTAAACTGGCTATGCTTTACCTTCTGTGCTGCCATGTTGTGGGGAACCAGGGGAGGACAAAGATCCATGCACTATATATGCATCTGGTTAATGACGTGAAGCGGTTTAATGACTTTGAATGGGGTGAGAACCTGTGGACGGATAATGTCGTTTAACTTTCCCCGGTTTTTTATTCCCCCTACAAATTTGGTCATTTGAAACGTTCCCCCGTTTGATGGAGAATGGAATTTGTGCAATTGGGAAGGGCACTGGATCCTTGTGACCGAGAGCATTGCGGTGGGAGACTGGCGTGCGGCCTAAACATGATGTGTTGGAGAATTCTGTTTTTGGAAAACCAGGGGTAATGTGACTAAACAAAAGTTGTCCTTTTAAAATTACAGTCATTAATTTTTGTTACATATATCTGACTTACTTTTATTGTATATAGGAAAGTGTCATCTGGAAGGAGATGGTTGCAAAACCCATGGAGCGTGTCATGGGAAACATTGAAACATTGCTAAGTGTTGGAGGTGCAGGTAATCGTAGCAGTTCAAATGCATTTGGAGAAGAGGTTAATGAAGGGTATGGAGCTGGCCGAAGGTCTTTAAAGGGTAAGTTGCATTGGGGGCCTGTGACTGCATGTTCTGATGGCGTCCAAAACGAAGACGGAGTGGGGGTGAAAAGTCCTGGGTTAAAAAAAAGGCAAGGGTGAAGAGAACAGAGAAAAGAACAGAAAATGCAGATATGCGTACCCGAAAAGAGAGACCAAGTGTAGTGGATGAGGTAATTGGAGCGAGTGGAGGTGACAACGAACCTTCATTGCGTGATGTCCTGACTGCAATAGTGCACATGGAGAAGAGACATTCTAAACTGCGTGTGGAAGTTACTAAACTGAGAATAGCACTGAATGCGCAAAGCCGACTTTTGAAGAGGGTATTATTAGGAACAAAAATGGCTAAGCGGAAACAGAAAAAGAAAGGCGATAAAAGAGAAGAGAATGGACTGCCGAGCTTTGATTTGGGTACAGAGAGCCAAGGGGGGAGAGATGAGCCATGCAATGATCAGGAAGATATGATTTACGAGGAGGACATTATTAAGGATGCTGATTTAGGAACCCAACTTGGTGTTTCTGATAATGAAGTTGAAGATCCTTTGAATGACGTCAGCACACAAGAGGTTGAAGGGCGATGGAGGCAGGCAGTTGAGGGTTTGGGACTGAATTTGGATTCAGGAAAGGGTGCAGGGAGTACTAAGTCAATAAAAGTGTCAAAAGAAACGACAACAGAATGTGTGCAGATTGATGAAAGGGTAGTGGATGAGCGGGCTGATGTTGTTGATCGAATAGATGTTGCGGAACTTGTAGGTGCATCAACAAGTAATGGCGTATGTGCTGGAGTACCTGAGACTGTGAATGGAACTGTAAGTAAACGTTAAAATCATTACTTGTGGTTTCCCTAACTGATGTATATTAGGATTTAATTATTATTTTTTTTGGAAAAACTTGCCTTTGAAGGTAACTGGAGCAGTGGTTGGTGGGTTCTGTGACAGGTTTGAGACTGTGTCTCAAATTGTTGAGGTGTGTGTTGTCCAAAATGTATATGTTAACGTTGAGATATGTAAATGTCTGATTTTACACTCTTTGTTATTTGTGTAGGATCTGCAGGATTGTCCACCGTCTCAACTTTTTTTTAGTTTAGAGGGGAATTTGGTTGGGGGTGTTGAAGATACAAAAGTTCAGGTGGTTAATGTCTGATGTTCAATTTGATCATGTTTTTTGTGGTTTTTGTTAGTCATTAGGTGATGTTATGTTTGCATGTCCTGAATTCGTTGAGTGTGTTGAATTTTATGCACAGGAGGTGATGCCGGAGAAAATTTTCAGTGAGAATGTAAGGCCGGTTGATGAAGAGATTGTGGACGATGGTGCTGATGAGGAAATGGTCAATGAGGAGCCATGCACACAAATAGTGGTACGTGCATTTTGTTTTTACCTATTATTTTGAGTGGTTTGTACTGTAAATATGACTAGTACAGATTTTATGTTTTGAAGTAGGGTTTTTTTGTTATATGAGTAGAAGTAAGATAATGACTTGGGGATGGAGAGATTTAAGGTGATAGTGGTCATTTCATTGTGTATCTAGTAGTAGTGAATTTTGTTACAGAACAGTGTTGCGATATTTGAAAAGTATTTTCTTCGTTTTTTTAAAGTCATTATTCTGTTGGAGGCTTTAGTTAAAGACTTTGTATGTCAACGGGTATGTACATACATGGCTGACCAGTTTGTGTGTCAACAGGTATGTGACTGGTCAGCCATGTGGTGTGTTTGAATGTGTACTCTGCGAATTGTATTACAGAGGTGATGAAATCAATATGTGTTTGACAAACGTTTTTTGGGTGTGACACTAACACAGGTGTATGAAGAACCGATAAGGGTTGAGATACCAAGAGAAATAAAAGATCGTCAGAAAAGACCATTGAAGTGTCCACAGCGGTTCAGTCCTGACCAGTTGATAGTCAGGCGTAAAAGGAAAAAGGTGAGAACAGTGATGGAGCATGTTATAGACTTCGGTGGAGATGGAGATGATTTCATGGGGCCATTCACATTAGACCCCGCTGAGATGCCAGGTGAGGATGATTTGAGGGAGGTGGATGAGTTCATGCACAAAGGTCTGTTAAAGAAGCATAAGAAGGAGCCCGGGCGTAAGTACTGTGTGAATGAAGATGTTCTTGCACCAAGTGAGTTTAAGACTCACTACGATGAAAAGGCCACCTTAACAAAAAGCTGGTACTACGAAATCTATTTCCCTTGGGGGTGGCTGTCAGATACGGTAATGTAGATTCAGTTAATTATATACGAAACTCTGTGTGGTGTGTTGAGTGCATATGATAATGTAATCAATTTTAATATGCAGCATCTTGATGTCATTTTCTACTACCTAAGGATGAAACGTGTGGAGTTCGGGTTAGTGCAGAGGTACACAACGACAGACACACCGTTCCTTGAATTAATGAAGACTTTGTGCGATAGATATTTGAAGAAAGAACTCACAATTGAGCAAGCTACACGGAATAAGTCAATAAGGAGCACAATCGTTGGAGGTAGGATGGAGTACGGCCGTCCATGGTAGGGTGTGGATTTCGTGTACATGCCACTCAATACAGGGAGCCATTGGACATTGCTGGTCCTGGACATTACGCGGAAGGTTATCAGAACATATGACTCAAGCCTCCAAATATTTCTGCCAAAGCTGATGGATAAGCTGGGAGTGTATGAAGGACGGGAAAAAGGTCTGATATGTGATGGTGTCCTTGCGATTGAGGGTGGGTCATGCTGCCCTCAGCAAAATGACAGGTATGTGACGGGCATTAATGCACGAAGGTAAGTACTGATTTAGTTAATGTGGTTATGTGAACCTAACGTCTTCTATTCTGGCATGACTCAGGTCTAGTTGTGGGATGTTCGTAGTGAAGATGGCCGAATTTCTCATGATGGGGCGTGATGTGCGCGATATGGGTGATGATGAGACTGCCGCATACCAGAAGAAGATGACAACAGAGCTGTTGGCCTACTCCGGGAAGTAAGACTCATGGACTGCGTTTGGAATGAGACAGACATGCACTCTTTTAATGTTTTTTTGCAGCAATGTTTAGGTATAATGAATTCTATGCACTATTGTTTTGAGACAGTAGCGATTGTTTTGAGACAGTAGCGATGGCTGTTATTTTGATACAATTAGTTACACTGGAAGAATGATGTTTATTGGTTTGAGTTTTTTTATACTGTGCAGTTTGTGTACTAAATGGAACTTAATGTGTTAGGTTATTTTTGTAGTAGAATTCTAAGATAAGATAATGAATCTGAAAAGTTGAGGAGATAAAGTGGTTTTCTAGTGGTATATGTTTGGATCTGGTTTGTTTAGGATGCTACGCAGGGTGCTAAACATGGTGTATTTTTTTGCACTTGTGACCTGTTTAGTCATTATTGTGTGTGAAATGATTATGGTGGTGGGGAATGAATTGTTTCCCAATGACAAATTCAGTATCAGAAAGAAATAAAATAAGACAAACTAAATGAACCAAAAATGAATCCCTGAACATGTAAAAAACAAAATGAACCAGAAATGGGACAAAACTAATGGACATGCTGGACCAAGGTTCCATGGAATGTTGTGCTTCCC